CCCCCCAGGTACCCTAAAGATCTCCCTGGCCAGCGCCTCCCAGGACCCCGGCCGTCGGGCTGTCCTCATCGATCTTTTCTTCAACAACTCTCGGGGATTTTCCTTCAACCTGGGAGACTCCAGGACCAACAACGGATACGGTATGGCCTTTTCTCTTTGGATTTTTAACCAACTCCCTACTATTCAAATGACGCTCTTTGTATTTATAAGACAAACTGACTTGGTCACTTGGGGAATCGGTATCATCAAAGGCGGTACAATGCCATAGCTGCTCCTCCCTTCTCTCCAGAACCCAGGAAAAATAGAATGTACAAGTATTATGTTTATAACTGTCGCAATAAAAGAGGATTGACAAAATGAACAAAAGAAAAAGAAACCGAACAACGAGTTTGTCAGTGCGTGTTTATTCTTGTGGTTTAGGCTCTAGGTCTTTTCTCTTTCCTGCAAGGTTTGCGGTTTTTGGGGTTCTACTTCTGTTGGGACTACCTATTATGTTGTGTTTTTTATTTTGGAGATTTTCTTTATTGTTTCATTTATTAAATTGCTTGCTCTTACAAACTCACTCTGGTAATCATCATCTCTGTACTGCCCCCCCCCCCAAACCCCAGACGGTGACGCGGGCACGACCCAGTACGACACGGAGATCCACACTGTGTCCAACAACGGTTTCCGCATCTACCCCGGGGACAAAGTGGCCGCTGCCCAACAGACACCTACAACCGTCCTAAACGCCTTCAGGTAACACAACCACTGTCCTAAACGTCTTCAGGTAACACAACCACTGTCCTAAACACAACCACTGTCCTAAACACAACCACTGTCCTAAACGCCTTCAGGTAACGCCTTGGGTAAAAGATGAAATAGCTCAGGCTTGCTGCTCTCCTTGCACGAAATCGCTGTCTTAGAAATACAAAGTTTTATTTTACATTTTTGGCCTTTTTGAGTTACTAAGACCATGAGGCCAGAAACTAAATGTTCTATCTGCTCTATGAAAATCGTAAGATTATTCGGAGTAGCCATCATGATATTCAAAGAACTGCATTCGAAAAAGCTTGACGTGGTCTGGGAAAACTGGGCGGAAGACGAACAGCCGCCATGATGCAACACATAGCCGCAAAACCTTGAGACGTCGGCGTGGTCTATAAAACATAGAGTGTAGGATTTCTTTACTGATTTGGTCTCATATCAATATGTATTTTATAATTTTTTTCGATGGACAATTGAGAGAGCGATGTCTAAATTAGCTCTTTTCTTTTTTCTTTTTTTCTAAAATAGCATTCGACATTCATATCCAGGAATGGAGTAATTATGATTAAAATATAGCACACTTAGAAATCTAGTAACGATAGATTACCTTTTTTTTGAGTAAAAAAGTAATTTTTCGTACGAGTTATCTGAGTAAAAGTAAAGTAGCTCTAGATCAAGAGTAACCAGGATGATTTTCAAGTAATGATTTCACACATGAAAATCTTTTACTTTTGATCTTTTAGTCATGAGACTTTGATTAGCAGAGAAAACGTAGAACAAACTGATGGCATCAAAAGTTCAGCCATGGACAAAATCCAAACATCTCAAGTCGATGAAACATTTCTGCGAAAGTAACAGGAACAAAGGGACGAAAAATGTGGGCCCAGACGTCAGTCAGCGCTAACTGACAAACTGTCCTTCTAATATCTCCGTCTGTCTGCCACAGATGGTGTCTCCCACTCCGGGCCGTTTTGCCCCGCCAGGCACTGTCCAAGCAGCCAGACTCCTAAATCATTTATAATAAAAATTATTATGTTGAAGGTTGCATAAAACATTTACAAACATGAGGTACACCCCCTGGGGTGGTGCCACTCACTAAAGTGTCTTTAGGCCATTCCCAAAGGAGGGACATTTCTCTTTTGGTGCACAGTAGAATTATGGAATAGGCTGATCCAACAATGTCATGCTCATAACTGTGCCTGTTCTACGACAGGGAACTGCTGCTTTTTCTTTCCTAATTTTTACTATTGTCATTTTTCTCTGCTTCTTTTGTATGTTTGTCACACTCTTGTGACCTGCTATTTTGGGGTGCCTTGATAGTCGCAGCAGACCTTGTGCTGTTGAAGCTAGAGAGGTGAGCAGAGTAAGTCTGATTCCCTGTAAGGACTTCTCTGTTGACATCCACCCCTTGGCCCTCATATGACCGTATGCAGTTGCGAGTGCCGTAAAACCTCTACTAAAGAATTTTTAAAAACATGAGTCACTCAATGTTCTCTACCTCCCCCCCCCCCCAAACCCCTCCTCCAGCACTCGCCTGACGCTGATCGTGAGAGACGGGAAAGTCCAGTGGGTCTCCGACACCGCCTTCAACTATCTGGAAGGTTCTGGAATCTTCGGCCTCAACGGACAGACTGATGACGTAGAGGCCAGGGGTGTGGCCAACTATGACCTTTACCTTGGCCTCAACAAAGTGGTGTATGGTTGGAGCAGGATGGGCTCGGGGCTCTGTAAGGCGGCCATCAGGTTCCTCTGTGATAACGAGGTACGGCAAGTGACGTCACGCAGAAGTGACAGACGCCAACCACGGCGGGAGAGATTTTTCCCAAGACGTATCCCCGCTAGGCGCGCTTTGGTTTAATCTGCGGGCTCCACTCACTCGATTATCCACCGTAAAACATCTACTCCATCAATCTGACTCAATGGTGAGCGGTTTGGTGGTGGTTCTATCATGTTTGTTTTTACCTATGTTCTTTCACCGGAGATGTTGAAAATACAAACCTTGAGTAATTTTGTAAAATGACGTTGCTTGTTGCTATACTGCAGACATTGCTTGAATTGACAATGATGAAAGTATAATATTATACATGTTCAATTTGTTTTTTGGGTTATTTTGTTGTTGTTTTGTTTTGTTTTGTTATTTTGTTAGAACAAGAACATCACATGAAGTCCAAGAACGAGGACTTGTCTGTGGACTCTTGGAGCTCACTGCTTCTTTCTTTCCGAGCTGAGCTGGCAGAAAGAATGTAACAGACGCTGTCTCGGGCATTCGTAACGATGTTTAATCTTCTACTATCATGGTTCTTTGAAAGAGAAATTGTAAATTCTGACTTATCGCTTAGAGTCCTGTGTGTAGTTGATGGCCATTACTATCCTGACTAGAAACAGATGCTCCCTTCAGAAAAGTAAAATGTAATGTGGGTTTGTTTGTAATTTCTCTCCCCCCCCCCCCCCTCTTTTTTTTTTTAGCAGAACGACCATTTTCTATACAATGTATTGTCAATGTGTCTGCAGTGAAAGGAGAAAAAAAATGAGTTTCGAGTTGTGTTTGTAATTTTCATAAGTGCAATGTTACTTCCTTGTTAACGTGCCTCTATAACTTGTTGACCTATCGTCTTTCATGATTTGAAATTAAAAATGTCTTTTCCAAAAGTTGAAACATTTATCTGGTTCTCTTATCTCATTATCGTGTGTCTGTTTACAGAATTGGTTTTATTTAGATGTTGCTAATAATATTGTTGTGGTTGTTGCAATAGAACTTGTTGTTGTTGTCGTTGTTGTTGTCATTGCTGTTGTTGTTATTGTTGTATTTGTTGTGATTGTGGTTGTTGTCGTTGTTGTTATTGTTGTTGTTGTTGTTGTTGTTGTTGCTGCTGTCGTTGTTGTTGTTGTTGTTATTGTTTTATTGATGTTGTGGCAATAAAGATGATAAAGAAACAAAAACGAGAGGGCACCGAAGTTGATGAGAATGAAAAAGGAGTTGAAGGAGGAGGGGAGGTGGATATAGTACACACACACACACACACACACACACACACACACACACAAACAAACACACTCACGCACACACCCACACACACACGCACACACACACACATACACAACCACACACAATCACAATCACACACACACATGCACACACACAAATACACACACACACAAACACACTCACGCACACACACACACACACACACGCACACACACGCACACACACATATACACATACACAACCACACACAATCACAATCACACACACAGGTACACACACAAATACACACACACACACACACACACACACACACACACACAACCACAGGCACACACAAATAGTGGTGCATTTGTTAATGTAATTGATTGTGGAATTGCCCACCCCACCCCTACCCCAATGAAAGCCTTCACTTTGGACAAGCTCATTTAAATCACTCATTAAGATAACTGTATAAAAAAAATAGCGAAAATTAACAGCATCTTTTAAACCAACAAGGTGCTGCCTAGACCATAATAATATGGAGAAAAAAACAATATGAACAAAAGTGAACTAAACGCCTGTTGTATGAGATGTCTAAGAACAACTTTGAGCATCACAAGAAGAGACAGGGTGAGAAATGAGAACAAGCTGTCTCGACTCCCTGCATGGTT